GTGGCGAAGGGTGAAGGGAAGGTAGAAAATCCCGCTGCCCCAGGAGACCACCTCGGGCCCGCCTATGGACGAACGAAGGTGGTTGACTGTCCAGGAGCCCGCCGGTTCTGCGCTACTGGAGAAGCGGTTAGCTCTCAAAGTCTGGGTTGCTATGAGAATTTGGGCCGATTGACCGCCGGCGGATCCCTCTCCTGCATTTGACACTTCAGAAACTCTCGGCATTTTCCGTGATGTCAACAGCCCAGAAGCGGCTGGCTTCCCCTGCGATCATTAATCCGGGCTGGCTGCGTTTGGGGTCATTTTTGGCTGCCTATAGTGTTGCGCCTGAGCTCAGCTCTGTTCCGGCCGAGCTTCCTGCATTAAACATTTGGCTCTCGGCTTTCTCCTGTCTCGTTGGCTACCCTCGCAGGCCGTACTGATTGACCAATGTAACTTTGTCGAGTTGAACGTCACCCAGAGAAGAGAGTTTTTTTCCCCCCTGGCACGGCGGGTTCTCTGTGGGTCCCACTGATGCCTCGCAGCAGTTTCATCACTCCTCGTACTTTAAGCCGCGGGGAACGCTTCTCGCCAAGGCATTTTATAAAATTATTCGTGTTTTACTCATTTCATTGCAGGCTATGTCAACGGCGCCGGCCGAGAAGCGGATACTGCTGGAGGGGCTGAGTCTGAAAACGTCCATAAGCGATGTTGAGAAGTTTTTTACGCGATGGGGCCCGTTGTCGGAGTGCACCGTCATGTTCGATAAGGTCAGTTACCTTAATGCTAACGCTGTACAGTCATTCCAAGGCATCGTTTTAGCCGAGTTTTATTTTCACGTAATTTGTAAACGACCAATTAATTCTTGCTTCATTTGGCGTCTTGTAAGAGGAAGCCATCGACAGCCTTGCCAGCGGACGATTGCTGTTTACACGTGCTACCACTTCATCTACTTATGAATGCCTCTTCTTTTCATGTGAACACCCAAGGAGTTTTATTTTCGTTGCTTTTAAATGGCATATTAATTCAGAAATTGCCGCATTTGATCCCAAACACACACACACACATCGACACATACATGCGCATACACATACATACATGCGTACACGCATACATACAACACATACATACATGCATATGTACATGCATAAATACAACACATACAAACATACGTACGTACATACATGCATATATACATATACATACATACGTAAGTACATGCATGTATACATACATACACATACATACACATATATATACACGCATGCATACACACACGAGTTCGTGCACTTCCGTTTTATTGTAGTCTGAAAAGGGTATGAACGGGAACTTTACGAACCATTCGTTTACTAGTTTGCTGCTGAAGAGCTAAAGATCATGTAGGTTTGAAAACATGATGTGAGGAAGAAGTAGGAGATCGGAACCGTGAATCTTTTTCCAGCGCTCCAGTGCCTGAATTTGGAAGGATTTTCTAGCTGCTTGGTACAAGCACAGTTTAGATCTTTCTTTCTCCATTTTCCGGTTAAACTATTAATTGAATTAATTTTTGCAAACGGTAGACTGTTCAGTTGACTGCCACTCTAAGCAAATTTTTCAGAATACAGGGCGCTCAAGAAGTTACGGCTTCATCTGCTTCGTTTGGGAGCACCACTGCGACCAGTGTCTGGAAGCGCAACCACACGTCATCGACGGTGTACAGATCAGGATGCGACTTATCAAAGATGTATGTGTCTGCTGCAATGTTTTTTTATTGTTTGTCAAAATGTATGTGTATTGACTCAGTCATTTGCGC